AATCACGGTCAAGTATGAGTAGAATGCGCGACTGTGATTAGTCAATTTCTTAAGGCTTAGGGCTTAAATCTCTATTGTAGACTGGGACTTCTAGCTTACCGCACTAGTTCACCAGTGCAGGAACAGAAAACAAACCCTAGATTGAAATTTGACCAGGGTTGGGTAGTGTCTAGTTAAAAAGATAAAAGTTAAGTTAAAAAGTTAAATAATTTTAACTAAACTTCGTTACATTACAGACTGTTAACTTTTAATTTACCCCTCTCTTAGGCCCGGTTTTTTTCATTTTCTGGTTAATCGTTAATCAGAGGTTAGTCGACTCTCTTTTTAGACAATAATATAAAGAAAGACGGAGAGTGGATTAACGTGTGGTTCGGCATCTTTTCGCGCGACGCGCGGCTGCGTACGCTCGCGCTTGCGCCGTGCGCGCAGTCGACGCAGTACCGTACGAGCGGCCAAGTGAGATGAAGCGGCGACGAGGGGTCGAAGGGGGTCGCCTCGCCGGATCGGAGAATCGTTTACAACGACGTGGCGAGACGACCCGCCGCTCGGACGCTCGTTCCATTTGACGGCCACGCGGATATCGGATTTCCGGTTACGCCGCGGACGAAACGGACGTGGATGGATGTCGGGAGATTATCGGATCGACGGATCCTGACGATCCGCGATCGAGCGCCGAGCTCCTGGAACTCACGTCCGATTGCACTCGCCGATCGCGACGTGTGCCCGATGATGTGTCAACGTTACATAATTTTCTGATACGTCAACCGTCACCTGGCTATCGCGATAAGGTCAGTTATCACCCGGTCGCGAGGTTAGACGGCGCTTCGGAGTCTGCGAGACTGGTAGCCGGCAGGAAAGCGCACGCTATTTCTTCTAACAAGCTCTGCACGATTCGTCTGTAGATATGTACGTTGATTTGCTTTTAATACTGCAACCTGTTTGCTGGAAAATTTATAATTAACATCAATATCGCACATTAGGATGAAACTACTGTATTATGTCGCAGCTTTAAGCGTGACCGGTGACATATTGCGTATTACGCGTCGTCTACAAAGCCTGGGGTGAGGAGTAAGAGAGAACCACGACCTTTTAGCACTTGGTGTAAGGAAGCTAAAATACAGGCATTGTTTTTTAAATATATGTAACACTGGCCGATGGCGTTTTCATTCACCGAGAGTAAGCGTGAGAGCTCGAGAATGTAGAAAAATTGCTAAACGACGCTAACTGGCAAATTCTACTTAAAGAAATTTATTGCGAAAAATATTAATTACCTCAGTCAGGGTTTGAACCTGGACATTATAGGCGGGCGGTTATTAAAATTTTCCTTACTTCAGGCTTACTGCATGCGTTGTGGACGACGCATTAATCTCTACCTATCTTACAACAGTGTCGAACAAAATTTTAAGACCGATTTTACAAAGATATTTAATGTATTATTGGATATTCCGATTGAAAACATATTTAATACAGGACTGGGCAAGTTACTTTATAAAAGTATCTAGTTACAGTTACAGTTTTTTTTTTCGCAAAAAATGTAATTAGTTACTAAAGTAACGAATCGTTACTTTGCAGCTCGTCTTTTTGCAACGAAAATAAAAATATCAAATCACATTTGAATTGTAAATTGTCGATAAAGACGTTTATGCGCAAATGGGCCTAATGCCCGTTCTACACCTGGGGATAATCCTACTTGTGGCTGTAAATATGCAAAGATCGTCGTATTGAGACGATTTATGGACTCGGGTGCCATTTCTACATAAGAAGACGGTTAAAAATCATAGTGAAATCATACAAAAACCATGCTTAGTATGATAGTCGTGAGGGAAACCACTGACCAACATCTTGATGGGCATTACTTAATCTTATTATCTTATTTTATCTTTATAATGCCCCAGCAAGAGCTAATGCCCAGCAATTCTGCAAATCTGTACACCACAATGTCCTCAGCGGTTTTCCCCTCGATGATAGTCTTACCAAAATGCCCGTGTAAACTTGTCCACTCAGATGAGCCACAAGTAGGATCATTCCTAGGTGTAGAATTAATGCAGCTATTAAATCAGTTACTAGTTATCGAAAAAATGTAGCTGAGTTAAGTTACAGTTACTGAAAAAAAAATGTAACTGTAACTTGATTACAAGCAACGAGTTACTTGCCAGCCCTGATTTAATATATGCTTGTATGATGTAATGTATATATCAATTAATAAAGCAGAGCGTTAAATAATGGCAAGCGAATCTTGGAATGTCTTGGTGACGGGAGGCGCCGGTTATATTGGTTCTCATACAGTGTTGGAATTGTTACAAGCAGGCGTTCGGGTGGTGGTAATAGACAACCTTAGCAATGCGCACAAAGGTGAGACGTAATGTGACAAAAGTGACGTGCGATACATTGTATATATACCATATTTCAACCTCATCGCCATCATATTAAATAGTAACAGTGTATTGATTACCGTCTATTTTCTATTCACCTCACCCAACATATTGTCTATTGGCGACACAGCACACGGCATGCATATACAGTTAGAGCTCTAACAGCTGTTCCTAATAAATAGGCACCATTTTCATCGTATACTGTACAATTTCTACACGTAAATGTAACATGAAAATTTTGAACCCTTCTTATGTTTACAGCTGCAAATTCTGAAAAACCAGAATGTCTCCTCAGAGTGGAAAAATTGACAAACAAAAACGTTACGTTCGTCAATTGCGACATCACAAACATCAACGATCTGAGAAGTGTATTTCAGAAAGTAAATATATTGATTTGATGAGAAATTGTGCCGACTGCCTATTAAACTCTAACATTCGGACTGTGTCTTTTGTAGCAGAGTACTTTTCATTGTGTTATACATTTCGCTGCATTGAAGGCCGTTGGCGAGTCATGTGAGAAACCACTCGAATACTATAAAGTTAATGTCAGCGGAACGATAAATCTATTACAAGTTATGCGGGAGCACAATGTAAAGCGTTTTATCTATTCGAGTAGTGCCACAGTCTATGGCGTACCTGAGCAACTTCCTTTGGTAGAAGACATGAAAACTGGCAAATGCACAAATCCTTACGGAAAGACCAAATTCATGGTTGAAGAAATACTCAAGGACTTGTGTGCATCAGACAAGGTACACGTTAATTGGGTACACTATGATCTGCTCTAGTGAAAAGTTCATTTTCAGGAATGTTCCGTTATATCTTTGAGATATTTTAATCCTGTCGGCGCACATCCCTCGGGTGAAATTGGAGAAGATCCCAACGGTATTCCGAATAATTTAATGCCCTATATTGCTCAAGTTTCTGTTGGAAAAAGAGACGTATTATATGTTTATGGCAATGACTACGATACTCTTGATGGTACAGGTGAGAGTTTCCGTTTTTGAGATTGCGCAGGATTACAGGAAACCTAAATCTTTTCATCAAGACAGCTTATTATGTAAAGAACGTGTTGTAGTAGCAACGAGAAATTTATGATTGTAATTAATATACATTTCTCTAATAAACTCTACAGGTGTACGTGATTACATCCATATTATGGATCTGGCAGTTGGACACATGAAAGCCGTGATGTATCAAAAGACTCGTAATCCAATGGGATTCAAGGCGATAAATCTCGGCACTGGAAAGGGCTATTCTGTGCTCGAGGTTGTGCATGCATTTGAGAGAGCATCCGGACGGAAAATACCATACAAAGTAGTCGAACGTAGACCAGGTGACATCTCTGCCAGTTACGCCGATGCTAGTAGCGCTAATCGAGAACTAGACTGGATTGCTACAAGAAACATGGATGACATGTGTAAGCTGGAGTAATAAATGTGACCGCTGTCTGTACTTTCTGTATTTGGATGTTCTAAAGTTAGAAACATTGATGTTCCAGGTAAAGATACGTGGAAATGGCAGCAAAATAATCCAAACGGTTACAAACGCTAATAAGCGTTACCCGTTATGCCTAAATAACTATGGGAAACTTGCTATTACACGGTTTGCCTTCCGCTTATCATTGGATATATAACGAAACCATGGTGGTATACAGTTACCAAAGTTTAGACCAAAGCATAAGAAAAGTAGTTATTTATCTGTTACATTAAGCGAATTTAATATATGAATACAAGGATAATTCATGTCTCGCGAAATTTAACGTTGAAAAAGTTTTGTTCGGTATCTCTTTATATAAATCTATTAAATATATTTTAAATCTTTTTTACGTGTATCAAAATTAAATTTCTGTCGTAACACAGTGCCATTTTAAATAGTTGCAATAAGTATTTTATAAACTAATGTGTATATATATAATCTATAAAAAATTTATATATAAAACATGTGTAAAAGATACTTTTCTATGTACGTCAGTGGTGCGAAAGCAGTGTAAATAATTGTGATTTATGGCGAATAATTACGAAATAATAAAGTTATTATAAAAGGGTGTGCATTCTATTACTGACAAAAATCTCCACGTTACTATAACCTCAATTTACAATCGACTTTCTACATCATTGATCTACATGCTGTTGATAATAAAATTAGGCGAAAGTACAGACAAGTGTGGGAAAAAAGAAATTGTGATTTTTGTTCAAATTATCACTTCGATCTTGCGAATTAATTTCGTCCATTAGAAATCGATACGCATCGAGGGACGACCATTATGGATACAGTGGCGAGCTTGCGGACCACGCGACTTTACGGTCTGTCGAATTCATGGTCCGACGTCACACTGACAATTTTGAAAATCAGCTGATCCACTATGTGACGAGTTTCTTTCCCGAGTGGAAAGAAAACGAAAGCGTAAGCCGCCTGGAAGAGTAACCGTGAAAACAGTGACTGCTCGCCTCTTTGACTGCTCGGACTTTAAAGAGCCAGGTTAGGATCGTCCATTTGTCAACAGCTGATCGAGACGCTCCAACACCTGTCTGCATTGACATGCTCGTTCAGACTCTGATCGCATCCAACCGAGCTGTCGTATGATACATCCCGCGTAAATCGTATTACCATGGACTCGTTGAAGGACGAGGCGCAGACGGAGGCAGCGTTGATCGAGAGTCTGTCCGGCGAGCAAAACTCGAGATGCGAGTCGCCGAAGCGCGGCACCACGCTCTCCACCAGCACCAGCAGCTTCGAGGCGCTCGACCCGCACGACCCAAACCTGAGTCGCCTGGCGAACACCATGTTCCAGAAGACGGGCGAGTACCTGCAGGAGGAGCTGACCGCTACCCACGCCGACTACCGGCTGCTGGAGCGCCTCAACAAGGAGACCATCGCCAAGTACACGGAGCTAAAGATCATCTCGTCGAACGTGGTGCAGTCACTGGACTCGCTCAATGACAAGTACCAGAAGCTACAGCCGATCCTTGACAACATCAATCAGATCGACGACAGCGTCAGCAAACTGGAGCAAGCGGCGTACAAGCTAGCGGCGTACTCCAAGCGACTCGAAGCCAAGTTTAAGGATCTCGAGAAGGACACGAAGGGCAAATGAAGCTGTAATTAAATGAATGTACCAATCATTGTATCCCTATGTATCTACATATGATAGGACGACAATATCTCGGGCAAAAATTATTGCGAATATATGAATAATTGTATAAAACAAATATTTCAGAGAGCTAGCAATGGTCAAGAATGCAAATCTTTTGTACATTATATTTATTAGTGTACACGAGAGACCTCTTGAACACGCTTACAAAACTTCTAGAAAATTGTAGCTTGCCATTCCTTTGCATATCATACACAATATCTGAATATTTTATAATTAACTTATTGATTAAAAAGTTATGTATCTTATCAAGTGCTCTATCCAAGACTAACCTTTCTTCTTCCGCAATGTATCGACAAGCCTCACAATGTGCCTGAGTAAGGATGATACGAGTGTAAATAAGAACACAGTAATATGTAAACCAGGAATACGAATAATTACAACTATATTTAACAAAAAGGGTATTTGTTATATTTGCCACAATGTTGACGTAATGAAAAGTAAATCTGTCACTTGATATAGCAGATACAATTGATGATTCAATATATAAAGTTGAATTTATTTCTCTTGTCAACAATAATTTACTGAAATATATACGAGGGTGAGTCAAAATTTATCTGCACTTTTCGTTCTACAATTTATTTACACAAAAATCGGGGTTCAATGTCAAGACTATCTTGAAAAATTATGTATGTGCATATTGGACCCCTATTTTTGTGTAAATAAATTATAGGACGCAAAGTGCAGATAATTTTTAACTCACCCTCGTAGTTTAAATATATAACGGATGATATATGCGTATGTCTGCTAGAGGATAAATTGCTAGATTGTGTGTCTGTGTGTGGTAATCCTTTATCGATAATTATTTTAAGCATTACAATATTACGTGTTTATGACCATACAAATGAGTGGAATATTTAAATTTCGTAACTTTAAAACTTTGACATTGCATTGTCACGTTGCACTAAAATGTTCACGTCACGAGCATGAGAGAGTCGAAAGCGAGCAATTATTACACGGCCCAGTACGGCCTTCCGAATTTCACAAGTATACATAGACTCATCTTAAACGACGACAATAAAGTAAGCTGCATTGTTCCTATAATTCAGTTGTAGATAAAAGCCGATGCACCTCCAGGGATGATATTTAGCAGTCTAAGAAATTGCCGGCCATCAATAATTCCAGAGCAATCTCGGGTGCGATTGGAAACTCTGGTATTTCTGTACTGCTGTTTGTGTAGCGCACTTTGTAAGTAAAATACATGCAGACCTTTTGCAACACGTGAGACCTGTGGAAAAAAAGAAGCACACGTTGAAACAATTTGCTTGTCGCAGTACGCGTATCAAACTTATGGATTTCAAAGTAAGAAAATTACTCGTTGGTACCCGTTGAGTACCAACTTTCATACTTACGGGATTTCACGAAAGTTGACTTCGTTGGCTTCGTTTTCCGCAAATTGACCAGGACCGCTCAACATTGCTTTGATAGTACCGCTCGTTAACGCGTGCTCCCGTTTAACGATAAATTCATGGCCGTCGCTACTGACTAGCTTCACGTACATGGCGTTTGGTCCCTCGCAGCCGCCATAAACGGGACTACCGTTTTGCTAAAATGTTCAACAACTCTATCACGCTATTTGTCACGTTAAACAGACTGGATAGACTCTTACGTTTGTAATCTAGACTATTGTACAATTAGAAGAAATAACGAAAGGCTTAGCAGGATGAAGTAAAGAAACCTTCCTCTAAGAAGCAAAATTTGGAAAAATCAGTATTAATTTGGAAGAATAGGTACCGCATGCATGTCTTTAGACGATCTGCCCTCTTCTTCGTCGGTCTTATTGACACTCGCTTCTTCATTGTGCTTGATCCAAAGAAAGATTAATGTTAATCGATATTTTACCACAAGCGTTCAGCTTGCCAGAAAGGGAACGAGTTAGAATTTTAACATATAACAGCAACACAATATGTATATACGTTTTAGAGATACATTGTTGTACACCCCGATTATCATGCACACGCATGCAAACAGGATTGTCTTATACGTACTTTCTCAGCCTGCATGTTTACGTCAGTTGACATGTTTGCCGTTGATGTGAATATATCCTCCTGCAGCAAAACAGTCCAGATATACAAACAATATACACACACACACAGTACAAATGACATGGAAACAGATCAATTGTATGTGTAGATAAGCTAAACATTAGCCAAGAGTGGCAGAAAAATACAAGACTGTTGAAAAAAAACATGAAGAATTATTTGACGCCAGTAAACGACCAACAATGAATAGACCCACATGTTCGGGCGATTTTTCGACGCGCGCGAGCCGAGAAATCGCCCGAGCACTCGCACTTCCCTAACAATGTATGGCGACGTGTTTTTAACACAGAAAATTTATTGCGAAAAATATTACTAATACGCCCGCCTAGATTGCAGGGAGGTCCATTTAGAAGCTCAATCATTGTTGAAAAAAAAAAGATGAAATTGTCATCGTAGACAAGTGGGAGCATCGAAAACACTCTGCGAACTAAAAAGTACATTTGGTCGTGTCTCAATAATAGCAAGTGTGTTGATCCGTCGACGAATAGATCCGGTTAGCCTTCCGTGTTGTAAGAGGCGACTAACAAAGCCTAATATTACATTTGTCGTACATTTTTCCAAGTGTTGATTGGCTGCAGAATAGAAGAGTCGTCTATCTCTAGAAATCTTTTCTATTCTGCAGCCAGTGAACACGCTTGAAAAATTTGTCGTACGATAAATGTAATATTAGGGTTCAGAGGACAAGTAGCTGTAAAGGGAGAGTAAAGAGAAGATAAGAATACAGAGAAGATAAGACAAGAACAACTAAGATAATAAAGTACGCTATGTGACCTGTGACTGTGAGTAGGTCGACGGCGTTCTTTAAAGGGAGAATTAAAAATATAATAATAAGGCAGCAGGTTAGGTTACATGTTGGAAAGTAGAGTTTCACGAAGGCGCTGCATCATACAACACACTCGCGCGCGTTTTTACAATTTCGAGCTCCTGTTCCTGCGCTCGTATTTACCGTCGACAGAGTAAATTGGGAAGGATTCGTTGGATGTACTGTACTATGTTATCCAGTGCACTACTTAAGCCCATTGGACAATAACTACAGATCTCGCTCTGTGGTTACTGTCCAATCGTAACGCTGGCTAGTTTATAAAAATAGTTAGGAATGATGCTTGTTAGTCTACTGCGAAATAGCGAGCGATCTACGTACTTTGCAGGCGACGCGAAATTTTAATTAACTCAGAATTCTAGTCACGATGTAGCGTCACCGACGACACACACACATCACCCGACGAACCGTCGTCTGGTCTTCTGGTCAACTGTCAATGATACGCGACGGCGACGTCGGCGACACTAACGACACCATTGAAAACATGAGCGAACCAAAAGGATGAAAAATCCAGGAGCACGTATGGTAAAACCGCGGATTAACGGGATTCTGCACTTTTGGCACCTTTTGCTCCTAGAACTGTCAATTATGCTGATTGGATAGATCTAGAAGAATAGCTCTATTTCAGCACAGATCTGAAAGTATAATCCAATGAGCGCAAAGCGCTTAGCAAGCGCTAAAGCCCGCTGCAGACACGATGATATTTTTCCTGCTGGATTGCTTGCGATTTAGTAAATTACTACATTGCACCACTCAGCATTCAGGATTCCTAGTAATTTACTAAATTGCAATTCTGCTGAA